TAGTAGTAGTAGAGAGAGAGAGAGAGAGAGAGAGAGAGAGAGAGAGAAACAACAACCAACAGCAACAACAACATCAAACTGTCTAATCTTCAATCCCTCCTCGATCGCGTTTCCCAAGACTGGTTTCCTGAATGGCTGACTGCGTTTTGCCCTGGACCTGGCCCCCGGACACTTTTATCCCCTGATCATCGGCAGCCTTTTTCTCTCTCTCTCCACCATCCTCGCCCAGGCCTGCGCCCCCAAAAGAGCCCAGAGCGCCGGCGGCGGCAACTGGGGACAAGCAGCGGCACCAGCACCGGCCGGGCCCCGGCAGCGAGCAGCAGCAGCGGCGGCGGCAGCACCGACCTCCTCCTCCTCCTTCTCCTCCTCCAGCTTCCTCTATGTCTGCACATCCTTTGCACTCCTAGCGCTCGGACTGTGTGGCGAGTGCGCGCGGTGTGTGTGTGTCCGCCGATCGCCTCCCCCGTGCGACTCTCCTGCATGCCTCTCCCCGCAGCCCGGCCGGCCGCTTCTCATTTTGCAACTTGAGGGGAAAAACATATTTTAAGAAAAAAGAGGGGGGACCAAAAAAATCCTTCATCCCTCCCTTCCCCCCACAGAGAGAGAGAGAGAGCGAGGGAGAGAGAGGAGGGGGTTGCAAAAATAAAGAGAAAGAAAACGGCAGAAACAGCTACAAGAAGCAGCAGCAGCAGCAGCACAAGGGCAGCAGCAGCAGCAGCTGAAGCAGAGGCAGGCAAGATTCCTTCTCTCTCCTCTCTCCCCCAAATCCGAGCCACCCACTTCCCCCCGCCCCCCTCCTCTCCCCGGCAGCCCTCCGCGAGAAGCTCCGCTCCCCAGCACTTTTTGGGCCCGAGATATGGCAATGGTAGTTAGCAGCTGGCGAGATCCGCAGGAAGACGTGGCCGGGGGCAACCCGAGCGGCCCCAACCCAGCAGCTCAGCCGGCCCGGGATCAGCAGCAGCAAGCGGCCTCGGCGGCCCCGCACACCCCGCAGACCCCTAGCCAGCCGGGACCCCCTTCCACCCCGGGCACGGCCGGGGACAAGGGCCAGAGCCAGCAGGGCTCGGGCCAGAGCCAGCAGCACATCGAGTGCGTGGTTTGCGGGGACAAATCCAGCGGCAAACACTACGGCCAATTCACCTGCGAGGGCTGCAAAAGTTTCTTCAAGAGGAGCGTCCGCAGGAACTTAACTTACACATGTCGTGCCAACAGGAACTGTCCCATCGACCAGCACCACCGCAACCAGTGCCAGTACTGCCGCCTCAAGAAGTGCCTCAAAGTGGGCATGAGGCGGGAAGGTGAATATTTCTTCCCTATTTTACTCTCCCTCTCTCTGTAGCTCGGGGTGTATGTTTGCAATCCATCTACAGCTTTGCACCCAGGCTTTTGGTTTGCGCTGATGCCCTCCTCCTCTCCTCCCCCCCCCCCCAACACCACCACCGCCGCCGCACACTTCCCTTCTCTGCTCACTGGGATGGGAATTTATTATGATGATCAGTCACTAAATATTTATTATTTTTCCGGTATCACTAGTATAATCTCTGTGTGTATGTGGTTTTGTCTATTGTTGGCATGAGGCTGGGGGGACATCATTCTTTACAAGATGGGTTTCCTTCTATTCCCCCTCCCTCCCTCCATATATAAAATTTAAAACCCCCACAACACTTCGCAGTAGATCCATTTCCACCATCATCTTTCCTGAAAGAAAGATGAAAGACATGTAAGTTGGGGGAAGGGTGAGAGAGAAAGGAAGGGGAAGAAATATGCTACTGTATCTCAGCTTTCTTGTGCTTGCCAGTATGGTAGAGTCTGCCTCTTGCAAGATCTGGCCTTCTTTTCACTCCATGCTCTCAAAGGAAAGTTTGTGACTGAACCGTGTTTTTATAGTCCTGTCATTTTTTAGCATGCTGCTCATTTTATTTCTCCATCAAACTCCACCCTCTGTTTAAATACTGCATACAAATTACAATTTACAACAGATTTACTGATCCTTCTGATTTTAGCATAATACATAGTCTGTTTCTGGCATGAGCTCCCCACCGTTTCAAATGCTATTTTTCAGAGTAGTTCTGATGTTTGCTTGCAATATGTCTCATTTTCCAGTAGCAAGACTGGCTGAACTATATTTTCTAACTATATTTAGCAGTTTACAGTTAAAGTTCATCTTGTGACTATCGTTAAAGATGTCTTATAGGCAAAGAAGCGAAACAGTCAATTTTGTGGAGTGGGGATTACTACGTCTTTAATTAGTTTTAAAATTATATTTTATATGCCACTAGAAAAGAAAGTGAGTTCTTTCAGATATGAAAGAGCTCGCACCGTATGACGACTTCATTTGTAGCTTCAGGGAACTGTTTGTAGGCGTCTGGGAAAAAAGCAAACTTAGAATTGTGTTTTCATTTAATTGAAAAATAACTGCCAAGTTTAAAATTATAATTAGGTGGAGTGGGAAAAAAGGAGTCCAGCCACTTAGATTTTGAGGGCTCAATTGGAATTTAGGTTTTAATCAATACTATAATAAAGGATAAAGTTACGAAAATATTGCACGCTCTAAACTGGAAAAAATAAATTATATAGAGGTGTGTGTTAATAATAAACCACAGTAGCCGTATCTTCTCCTTGAATTACCTTTGTTTACATTGCATGCAGTTTAGAACACTGACACTGATGAAGTAAAACATACACATACTAAAAAAAAACTTTGGTCAGCTTTAGGAACTCAAAGCATGCTTACGTTTTGTATTGAGATGGTTAATGAATCCAGTGTTTTTGCAGTTGCAAGCTTGTGCATTCAGTGTGCAAAGCTGTCTACAGGCTTTTGCAGTTGCAACAACGCAGCAAAGATATTAATTAAACCATCGCATTTTTCACTAATGTTTGGCTACTGTAAGTTCAGACCCTTCCCCCCCCCTTTCGAATCTTTAATCTTTCTCTTCCTTCTATCAGTGAGAACTTTGCTGGGCACGTATCGGATGCTTGCTCCGTGTAATAAAAAGTTAGAAGTGGTTAGCTGGGGGGCTGTGACCTGATCCAGTTTTAAGGATAATTGGATGGTATTTTTAAAGAATATGGACACATTTATTTTTTTAAAAAACAATTTGCTTGTAAATCTACATGCTCCTCGGACAATGGACTGGGAAATAAGAAAGAGCTATGGTACCTATATTTTTACCAGATTGCTGGGATTTTTACCCCAGACAGCACGCTACAATCCGGAGGATTTCTTTTATTTGTGTTTTGCTGGTTGCTTTCCTTTTCCTGCGAGTTGGGGGAGGGTGGATTGTCTCGTTGTTTTGGTTGGGATTTTTTTATTTGTAATTTGTATTCTATTTTATTTTTTTTGGCTGTGCTGGTGATGGGGCCGGGATGCCTGTACAGGGGCTGAGGGTAAGGAGATGCAGCCTGTTATGTATACACTGCTCCATGTGTATATGCTGTCTATAGCTCTCTGTACGTGTGTGTGTGTGTCTGTGGGAATAAGCCCTGCATTGTCTCCGGATCGGCTGTAACGTGTTAGGCGATGTTTGCAAGCCTCCTGGATGCACATTTCCTCTCCTTTTCTCTTTCTTTTTGTCAGCGGTTCAGCGAGGAAGAATGCCTCCAACCCAGCCGAACCCAGGCCAGTACGCGCTGACCAACGGGGACCCTCTGAACGGCCACTGCTATCTGTCGGGATACATCTCGCTGCTGCTGCGGGCCGAGCCCTACCCCACCTCGCGCTACGGCAGCCAGTGCATGCAGCCCAACAACATCATGGGCATCGAGAACATCTGCGAGCTGGCCGCCCGCCTACTCTTCAGCGCCGTCGAGTGGGCCCGCAACATCCCCTTCTTCCCCGACCTGCAGATCACCGACCAGGTGGCCCTGCTGCGGCTCACTTGGAGCGAGCTGTTTGTGCTCAACGCGGCGCAGTGCTCCATGCCCCTGCATGTGGCCCCTCTGCTGGCCGCCGCCGGCCTGCACGCCTCGCCCATGTCCGCCGACCGGGTGGTGGCCTTCATGGACCACATCCGCATCTTCCAGGAGCAGGTGGAGAAGCTCAAGGCCCTGCACGTCGACTCGGCGGAGTACAGCTGCCTCAAAGCCATCGTCCTCTTCACATCAGGTGAGTGTGCTCGGGGGAGAAAGGCCAAGGGCTGGGGATGGGGGAGCTGGGGGGAGAGGTCGGAGAAGGCGAAAGAGATCACTAGGCAACAGCAAGAGCAAAATCATAGGGTCAAACCTCCCAGCTACCCTCCCCCCCCCCAGCCAGGCTGCGTTGGGGTTAGGTTAATAAAACCCACTCGATTTGCAAATCAATGTTGCTCCCACGTTTATGGGAAGAGCTGTAGATGGCTGGAGTTTTATACACACTATATTCCATTATCCCCACTGCCAGGGTTTGTGCTCCTTGTTTCCTTGGATAACAGGGGGTGGGGAGGGGGGAAAATAGAGAAATATTACCATTTATCTGCGGGTGTGAGACTGACTATGTGCCTGCGAGAGAGAGAGAAGGGATCTGGGTTTCTTGTGGTACTTTAACTGGTAAGGAGGTTCTCCCTGAGAGTGTTAAAAGGAGTGCATAAGCACAAATAAATCATAAACAATACTGATTTATTGCTGCCTGATTTTCCCTTATCGGAAACCATTCATGTTTGCAGTTGCAGAGGTTATTGAGGATCGTAAAAAATGGATTCGATCTAAAAGAGAAAGGCAAAACAAAAAACAAAAAAAAACCAACAATAGAAACAGCAAGTCGCGGGGGAGGGGGAGGGGGTTATGTACCAGTTTACCAGCCTAGAGAGAAGTCTTTTTGCTATGCAAACCATACAAATATTGGAATTTTAACAGATTGCCTGAAAAAAATACCAAATTAAGTGTAGGAGGTGGTAACATGCATGCATGTATGTTAACATTTTTTTCTCATGATAGATGGTTCAAATTAACTTGCAGGAAACTGTATTAACTTCGCTTTGAAGTGTTCGGGTTATAGCCTATAATACATCTTTTATTATTGTAACCTTCGAGAGGGAAATATATAAACATCAAAGACGAACAATTTTCGGAAAATATAGGAAATATAAACAAAGCAAGATAAGAAGCCACTCAATGTTATTTTCTTTTTCTTTCTGTCTTTTCCTTTTTTGAACCAGTCCTCCCATGTAGCAATAAATAAACAGTTGTAATAAATCTAACTTGAAACTAGGCCGAAGCAAAATTAAAAGCATTCTTGAACAAAGATGGCAAATCGTTCAAAGGCCTTGTTTAACAATAAGCAGTTTATAATCCATCAATATTTGTTGCCTTTCATGCATGAAAAATAGTATTTACATGGTATTAAAATGACTCTTAAATTTGCACAATATTGTAATGTAGCAAATGTAGTATTAATATCGATTTGAACATCAGATAATTTATTTAGACAGGAGTATCTAATTTGTATGCAGGGTGGTCAGAGACATGTACTTTGACTGCCCCCTTTTACTTTCAGTGCAAATGCAGTCTTGTAGTGTTGGAGGGAATCTTTCTTTGCGAAGGATAAAGTACAGATCTTAAAACAAATGGGAGATTTACTGATTAGCCATCTCGACATTTTAATGCATTTTATCTTAATAAGTCGTCTTGATGGAAACATGTTTTTCAAAGGTGACAAAGAGACTGGGCAGCATTTATCAGCCTGATTTAACACAAGTCGGTCTGCAGACTTACATTCTATACTCATTCATTTCAGAATGTTCATCAGTAGACAGACCAATCTCTGAGAACCTTTCTGTTTTTAAACATATATTGAAGAAATTGTTGTAAAATAGAGGGAGAACTGGTATGGTGTTTAGTAGTTATTAAAGGAAAAGACACCTGAAAGGCGTTTGCCCCAAATGAAGAGTGGGTTTTTCCCCATCTTTCCCCCCAAATTCTGGGCCTGGGCTAGCTGTGTAACTGGTGGCTTTTTTTAACTCCATCTTTCTATATTAATAGTAATGTATTCAAGTATATAATGAAATATTTACCAAGGGAGGAGCTTGCTCCAGCAATTGACTAAAGCGATGAATGGGGTTTAGGAAGAGAACAATAATATTATTTTGTAGCAGAATAGCATGGGGCATATTAGAAGATGAAAATACAGCTGTCAGTAGTAATTTACCCCTTTCCCTTACCCCCAAACACACATTTCCACTTTTGACTAAACTTGTTTTGATTGCTAGCCAGAGGGGAATTCATGGGAAGCCTTTCTCGAAGTCATCCAACTTTTAAGCAAACTCTGACGGATGGAAAAGACATTTTTAGACATATTGTCCAAAGCAGTTTACTAAGCACTGAGTATTTAAAGCTGGCATGAGGTTATCCTGGTGTGTTTTTTACATTTGGGGTCCGGATAGTATATTTAATCTTTAAAATTCTGGACACCATCCAAGAACTTGGTCTTGACCCAAACGTACTTCTCTTAAAAAAAAAACGTTATTAATTTATACACCTACATTGTTCTTCTAATAAATAAAAGTTCCCACGAAGGGACCAGACAAAATAACATAAATTCAATAAATCTATTTGCAGCGCAATAAGAACTTTGATTTCCAGTTATATGCCAGTTGATTACATCTATATTTTCTGAACACTAAACTCTTCTGAATGCATCACATGAAATACATTCCCTGTACTACAAAGGATAAGGCTGGAGTGTACTGAACAGTAATGGTTATTTATTTACATAATTTCTTTTCCATAGACTGCAGGAAGAAATATTGAGCTCTCCCTTATTGACACATTGCCATATAAAAAGTGAGACACACAGAATTTCCACATTAGCCCTCCCTTTATTAACTGAGATATAATTCACGGATGGTAAATATGTATTGCATTACTTCTTACACATATTCCATTTCTCCGGACTCAATTATCTAATCGGTTTTATACCATATAGTCTTTAATTTTTTAAATCTTGTTTTAAGCGGTTGGGGAAAAAAACTTTTAGGGTGCTAAATACAATTCAAATAAACAAATATGCCAGGAGCATGTCAAATAATTAAGCGAGAGCAGATATTATCTGCATTAGAAAATTGTAAGTGTGTCTGTGTCTAATATAAAATCTAAGACGTATTCTTTCCCCCTTTTTAACGTTTTTCTGTCAAGTAACTTCCCAATCTTGATTGTCCAGTGACTCTGCATTGTAGGTGCACTTATCGTAAATATCTGATAAATATTTTACTAACCTTAAGGGTATGACATATGGGGCCTAAAAAAATCTGTTGGGCTATCAGTAAGACCCTTTCATATTGCATTGTTTGGAAGTTGAATGGGATCCTATTGCATAATGAGCAGATGATACATGTAAAATACCAAGATATATGTAAATATGGAGTGTGATTTGTGGCAATCAGCATATGAACAGGACTGTGTTTTTGATATATATTTCAAACAAGAACAGGCCTATTCTTTTGATATAGGTATAGATATAGATATTGCAGACTGGTGCTTTAGATGTTGCAAAATAACATTGCATTAAAGGTACAGTATGGATTAGCAAAACAGTCTGGCTTGGATAATAGTATATCTGAGGGATGCCTAGTCCGTAGCTCAGGTCAAAGGTTCTTTTCCTCAGAAGTTCTTGAATCATAGCTTGTTTTATTTGTATTTTTGCTCGAGGCCATAGTATGGTAGATGAAGGTGTTCAGAAATCTTTTTAAATTCAGTTCTTGAAATAGAAAGACATAAACTTCAAAAATCCAGTTGCCAGAGATTTTTGCTTTGAATAATTTGTTGTGTCTTTCCAGGGTCATAAATTTACATTCACAATTTTGTAATGTCCTTTTGGGGCCATTAACATGCATTAATTCATATACAGATCTATATATTAGCAAAGTCTGGCTTTGATCTATAGGAAACCACACTGCAACTGACTGCTCGCCTGTGAGCCTTATGTTTTAAAAATATTTATTATTAATATACGTAACAATGTGGATATTTGAACTATAGGGGCAAATCCATTATATTTCACTGACGCTAGTTTCCTGAGCAAGTCTCTCAACGAATCAGCTGATACACAATAATTCGCTGTTTTGGAATTATAGATAGATAGATGGATAGATAGATTCAAATTCATGTTCTCAGATTAGTATGCAGTTGCCTCGATCGCATCGTTCTGCCGGGTATGAAGGATATACTTCTGGCTATATATATGAAATATACACATATATGAAGGATATATTTCTGGTTACATTTAGGCAATGCTCATGCACTGCAGCCGCCTCCAGCTTTATGGCTGATAGCTGCAGATGTCTGCTTAGCACAGTCTGGAGTAACTGAGCCATATTCCTCTTAGATTATTATACAGTTTACAAAGATGTGACCTATTTTCAATTACTTGATCCCAGATACAGAGAGTAGTGCAGCCTCTCTCTTTGGCATTGCACTGCAGATTCCGGGCAAGAGACTCCAAATCCCATACTGCGAAAGCATTTTGACTTGTTCGGATTTCCAGCCTTGTCCAGAAACTCGGCGTATTTGAATTAATTAATCAATGTATGTATTTATTTAGCATGCAGCATAGATGCAGGCCACATTTAGTATAAATCCAAACAATGGCTCTCCTGGCTCTGTGTTTGAGTTGTATTCATGGTACAACACTCATCAGTGTGTAGATTAAAACAAAATCACGAGCATAATAGCCCCGTTCCTCCTCTCTCTCCCCTCTCAGAGGCTGATAGTCTCCTGACAGAGGACAGGTTGCTGTGGCTTGGCTGTATGGCTTCAGATCCCCCCCCCCCCCACACACACACACACACAGCGTCTTACATTATTTATTCCAAGGTGGAGGAGAAACACGAAAGGGTAGTTTGCCTGCGCGTCTCTCTGTCTGTCGGT